AAGCGGGACAGCCACGACCTCAGGGAGGCCCACTACAAGGCCAACAACCTGCACGAGGTCGCCAAGCTGGAGAGCCTGCTGGACGAGCGGACGCGCAGCAAGGCCATCGTGTTCATCGCGCTACTCACCGCCAGGAACCACACCTGCTCCAGCCGCCTCTTCCAGGCCGTGGCGGGCGCCCACCACGGGCCCCGCGGCGTGGGCGTGGACGAGGGGCGGGCGGCGCGGGCGGAGGGCGAGGCCGAGCGCCCCGCCGACCCCGAGGGCGACGTGCCCGAGGCGCAGCAGGTGCCCGACCCGGCGGGCCCTCAGCAGGTGCCCGAACGGCCGGGGGCGCAGCAGGTGCCCACTGCCTACGACGCCGACTACGTGAAGGAGATGCTGCTCATCTACACGATGGTCCTGCACCACCCGGCCTTCACCTTCGAGCAGAAGCGCATCATCGCGGAGCTGCACACGGCCACCCTCAGACTGGAGGAGCAGCTGTGCCAGGTGCTCTCCCAGACGTGCGCCACCGCTTCCGAGGTGAGGCCCGGGGCGAGGGAGGGGTGTGGAAGAGGGGGGCGGGGGTCGCGCAGGCATTCCCTTGGGTTTGCGCGCGCTGGCCGAGGGGTTGTGTAGGGAGGTCGTGGCTTATGTACAGGTATGTGTGCGTGTCTGCGTGTGCGTATGACGGAGGGAAAGAAGGGTCACGTTGCAGACGATTGCTTAGCAGTCACAGAATATTCTAGAATCGCTCACTGCTTGTATATGACTTTATATGAAGGAGACATAATCCCAAGATTAAGATCTACCCCAAAGTATTCTGTAGATTTACGTTAGCTTGAATATTCATACCTGGTATAAGTCAGAAAATGATTTGGCGATATATATTCCCTCTTGTATAGTGTTAAGGGTTGTCAAATAAACGTGTCTACTGTCATTTGATTTTTGATGATGTGTGAATGAGAGGCATAAGTGGGTGTGGCCATTTTTATATTTAAGGGTATTAAAATAAGACTTTTTTTTGCCAGTGGATTGCGTGAAGTTCTATGCGAATCTGCTATATTTTCATACAAAATTTGCAATATCTTATGATCTATTTACCCATCAATGACAGGTCAGATTTGTTCTTTTAACCCATTGCCGCCGGGGAAAATGAACAAAAAATGGGGGAAATGCTGTGCCTATTTTCTATACTTTTTTGTTAAATGTCTGCCCATAGATGGCTCTGTTAGCGCCTGATTTGAAATGGCGGGAAAAACGTATTTTTCACTAGTACCATGAATATCGATGGTGTTATTTTTATCATAAACATTATAATTTTTATAATGTTTTTTAACATTAGTAACAGCAAAATAAGATAACGTAAAATATTCCGTAAATCAAAGAAAAGGGTGAACGGGCGAGACAGGCGGTATTCATAACTGGCTCATTGGTGATTTAGTACAAGTGTAGACAACTGTGTGTGAAAACAATCTAACAAGTAATCTCACAGTGGCCATGGCATGGCATGCCCGGTGGGAATGGGTTAAAGTCTAGCGAGGAAGGGCAACCATCTGCATGTAGCGTTTCACGATTGGGCAATTACCTGGCATGTGGTGAGGCCCGTGCAACCTTAATTCCAGCAAGTAGGACTTGGACTTGTGACAAAAATGGGGTGTCACCTGGCATTTCTTAGTGTTCAATTTGATGCAATAGGATGCCGCTTACCTGGCACAGGAGATACCATGTTGACAAAGGTGGTTCTCCCAGGTGAGGCTCACCATGGCACTCTGGTGGCACTGACCCCTAACCTAATGTAATATAAAATGTGTGTTGTATGGTTCAGTGGTAACGATCTAGTATAGCAATCGTCATTGTAACAAATGGAGTAAAACTGTATTATTATCATTAACATTATTGTTATTTTTATTATTACCTGTGCCCAGTAGGTTAATCTCATTCTGCCAGGATAATGTTTTGTTTACTTTAGTACTTTCTGAAATGCCTGCACATAGGAATGAATTAGTAAACTTTTTGATTTCACTTGCCCTTGAGATTTTGGATTTTGTTTTGTTTTGTTTTGTTTTTTCATCTTATATTTATTGATATTAATATTGATGCTGCTATTATTATTATTATAGACTTTATTGTTATTAAGACATTATTAAAGTTACTAATAGTAATCAAAAATAAAAGAAAGTATTTCTAAAAATCAAGGAAAAGGGTAAATAGGTGAGATAGCACACACTACTAGGTAGTTCATTGGTGATATATATATATAATACTTCTGATACATATATAATAATTAACTCTACTCACAGCAGCCATGGCATGCATGTACATGCCATCCCCAGTAGCTGTGGGTAAAACTTTTCCAAGTATGCCACAGTTACCAAACTGGATCTGGATGGTTCACTGCCATCAAGTGACCCATAATAAGGGCAATAGGCTTACTTGACCAACCACTTTGCCAAGTGACAAGACTCTATTCCTGTGTTCACTTCAGCTTTTCTGCACATGGACTTCTCCACGTCCCAAACCGGCTAGAGCGAATGGTGTACCCATGCTATGCACCGATCAGCTGGTTACCATAAATACACTGCCCTTGCCATTGAGACTTTTTGCGAGAGAGATGAATTGCTTCTCTGATTGACTGACTGTAATAAGGGCTCGTAACCAATGTGCAAAGACTTCTATATCACACATTAATGACTAACAAACAGAGAAAGGCAAAAACTAATGTTTATGTCGCAGTTCAGACAGATTTACTATTGAGGCTCTTAACTTGGCAGCTGTTCACTCAATTCTCTATAATTCAGCCAGTGACACAAAAGACAGAGGGCATAGTACATTCCACACTCGTTTATTGATGGAAATAATGTAAAGGCCCCTTCATAAATGTCTACAGAGTCTGATCACCATCCAGGAGATTTGTGCACTGGTGTCAAATCATTCTGTTTCCCTGGCTAAATGTTTTCATTGTATAATGGTCATATTATCTAGATTATAGAGGTTAATTGATATTTACCCTTTTATCATAAGAATGCCTTCATTTCTGGTGAAGACATTGAATGATGGTCCAGACCACCTTATTGGATCGGATTTCACGGGCATCGGAAATCTCTCAGCGTCATAAACTCTTGTGATTTCTAGCAATGTCCAGCTGCTCTGTGTGGGAGTCCACTCCATGTCGTGGAACTTCCCGCTCCACACGTGCTAGCGTGTTGCCGAGCATATGGCTGTACCCCCACAGACCATGCGGTTTGTTATGACGTCTCAACATGTGACCCGTCTGAAAAGGGTTAAAAGTTCAAGCCTCCTAATTTTTTCTTATTGTTCTAGTTCAGAACCAATGGCATAGAGAAATTTACTTTTATCTTCCCTTTATTGATAAGAATAGTGTATGAAAACCTATTTTGACATTTGCCCAGAATGTTAACCCACCAAAAAATAGAGTAGGTCTGATACACGAATATAGAAAAAATAATGGGATAGAGATAAAGAACACCTAAAATAATGTTAGTAGGTGTAAAGATATTTGGTTAAACAATAGGATATTAATGTGTGCTATATTGTAAAGAAAATTTTATATTCCCATTCTGTATAGTGTAACAAACACCATAATAGTGAAAAATATGAGCGTATTCATATATTTCATTTTATCTATCTTGCTGCAATTAAATTTTATTAGTCCCTCAAAATGTATGCTATGTGGTCCTGAGCTCTTAACTGATGACAAGTCATTACTACAACAAGTCTATTTCACACTTGTGAAAATATTATTTTATACCTATCAATTCCAGCTTTTCCATGCTGAAATTCTTCATGTATTCTTATAATGCACTTTTTAAACTTATGATAAGTAATTGATATACAACAATGTACTGCATTTTCATAAACAGCATTTTTGACCAGTCAGTGAGCCTTTAATCCATGACATCTACCAGCAAGATAAGTTTTGTTCACATTGTTGTGTTGATTATAGGCCATTTTTTTTTACAGCATAGTGGCCATGCAAAACTAGACATTAGTGTCCATTAGAAAAGTATAGTGAAGCCAAAAAGTAAGTTGGATCATTCACAGGATGGACAGAATTATCTGGTTGTCCTAAGATGTGTTTCCAAAAAGCACATGATATGTAAAAGTATAGGAATTAGTATTTCAGACTCTATTTGCTGCAACAAAATTGTATCTCCTCTGATTCAGGTCTGCTACACTGGGGTCCAGGTTGTTAGGTATGGGATAGGGTTAGAACTTATTGGATAAGAATGATAGGCCGATGTATGGTTAGAATGGAATATGCAAATACCATAGGGGTTTAGGGGGACAGAGCCCCTTATATATACTTACTGTATAAAAACTGAACCAGAGGCCTGTGCCTAGAAGGTTAGGTGGGGCTGATGGTGTATGTTTCCATAGATTTTACAGAAGAATGGTGGATGTCTGTAGACTTTCCATAATGGTAGGCATTCCTGTAGGGATTCGTTGGTTGAATTTTAAAATTTTCTTTCAATCTTTCTTTTCTTTTAGTCTTTTCATTCTACATTCATTCAGTCTCAGTCTCTTTTACCCTGGAATTTCCCTGATGTTTTTCCTGCTCTCCCATACTATTAGGACTTTCATCAAGATATAGCTCCAATCAAGATTGCTACATTTCTAGAGCACACAAATATTTTTCATGGAATATAGAATTTTTGATATAAAAATTGGCACATTGGTCTTAGAAAGAATTATCAAATATTCTGCACAAGGTAAGGCGAAGGCCACAGTTGCTTGTCCAAATCTTTAAATCTACATGTTGACAGACACCATGGCTGCCTCACTTTGTGTTCCGACCATATTTAAGGATGGTCTACCTCTTGAAGGATATTTTGGTAAGACTAAGAAAGCTTGTAAACCTTCCCTGACATTTTATTGTCCGATGAAAAAGAGTCCAAGCTCTGTTTACCAGAATTTATACATTTATGTTTATGCAATAGTTACTTCATTAATCTAGATGCAACTTTGCAAAATAGTAAGATGCAACATTATTGCTG